TGAAAATTATCTAAAAAGGAGTATTGATGAATTATATTGTGATTAGTTATAGAGTGAATATACTTGGCATCGTTCAAGCTTTGTTGAAGCTTTGGGAATGAGTATTTGAGAGATAAAACCTTTAACCTCTCAAAGGTTTGAGATAATTGGGGAAATTCTTTCTTGTGCTTTTGTGTGTTAATTGATTTATTGATTGATATTTGATAATTTAAATGTGTGAAATTAAATGAAATGAAAATGTGACATTAATTACTTGAAAAATCGACTATAATGATTTTGCAAAGTTCAATGACATGTTGTATGTAAAATTATATGAAACATTGTTAGTGGAATGCTATGATATGATTTCTTTAGAATTCAATGATATGAGTTAGTAGGGAGTTCAACAATTATGTGCTAAAGGAGTCAATAACTTGATGTGTGAATGGTTCAATGAAATAGAATTTGTAGAGTTCAATGAAGTAATATTTATGGAGTTCACCGATAGAAAATTAAAATTCACGTGTTAAGGCTTCCATCAGAGTTTGATGGTTAGCCTGAATTTATGATTTATATTATCCCACTTATTCAACGAGGGACAGTCTTATTGGTTCAAAAAAAAACTTGAACCAAGCTAGTTATCAACTTCTTCAATGAGGAAACTAGTATATAGAGAATGACACCCCATAGTGTGAAAAATGAAAAAAAATGGTATTCACAAGTGAGTTGGAAAATCTTAGCTGGATAACCTTTCACATGTATTTTGGCTAAGGTAGTCTCAATTTACAGACGATCTCAATGTGTTATAGCCTGCGGTTTTATGTCAAAGGAATAAAAAGGATATAAAGGAGGTGTGATCATGCATATAGTGATTAAAAAGGACACATGGTTATTTGTATTGTGACCTTAGTAAAACAAATCATCTAATGAATTCTATTTCTATATGAAAATGTGTTACTCAATCATTATCTCATGAGCATGTGTATTATGAATGAAAATTTGAATGATGCTTTTGAATATGTTAAATGACTTGAAATTGATTATCTTTGCATCTTGCATTTAAATTAATTGACATGCATTAATATGAATTAGATAGACTTTGATTACTGAGTGGTTGTACTCACCCCACTATCTTTAATATTTTAAGAACTAGCTCAAGGGGACAATACAGAGGGAAACAACCTGAAGCATAGGATTAAGATCTTATTAGTAGGCTTCCTTTACTTTTTGAGTATTTATGTGTATATTTTGCATGATATTACCAACTAGGGATAATTCAAATTGGGACTTACTTGCATTATGTGTTTTATAAATTATATAGTGTATTTTAGGCCCTAGGATGTATGTATATTGATTGTGAGACCTATAGCAAAGCTAAAATACTAGTGCAAGTAAGAGTCTTGTATGACATGTGAATAATGATGATTAATTGATGTAATATAATATTAGAGCTACCCCTTCTATTTTTGAGATTAAGAAATTGAGTAATGAAAATGTGTTTTATGAGTATTGTTAGTGGTGTGGTGTATTGTATAGGTCCGTTATAATCCATTGAATATGATTTGGGTGGTGTTTGTAACTTTTATCTTTTGGTATGAGTTTTGGACACTCAAGTTATGTGTAAATAGTGAAAAATAAAATATTTTGAAATGAATGTCTAATTTTTCATTGAGAAATAATTTGATCGTGAAACTAAAGCCATTAGTTAGAGTTATGAGAAAGCTCTCTGTAAACACCTACATCACGTCAATCGAACATCAAATGGAGAAAGAGGACGCATTGAAAGTTGTTCCAGTTATTGTCAAATGACAGCAGAATTCTATTATTAAAAAGTGTGCAATGCATCGCAGCGCATGGCACAAAGGCTCACAGGCCATGGTGCATGCTTCATTTCCTGCACATTTTCATTGTTTTTTAATTTTAAGCAAATGCATTGATTCTTTTTGTGATCCCATACTTTCGCATATAAGATGAACTCTGATAAACAGTCTGTAAAGATCTTTTTGGATGTTTTTAGTATTGAAATCTTAGAATCCTGTTTGTATAATTTATTAAATTTGGTAATTACCATGATGTGTGGAGATTAGGGAGGATTAGTAAGGGTAACCTTACTTATCTCTTCCAAGATATTTCAACTTGTTATGAGAGTTTTACAAACTTAGTAATCTATTTAAGGGTTAATCCCTTGATTACTATAGATTTATGGTTTTAATTGTATCTAGTAAAGAAGGATTTTACACCAACAAAATTTGAAAATGCATTGCGAGCTTGAATTCCCTTCTCACAAATTTTGTTGCAAACGAAAAGACACATTTGTCCTTGTCTCAATAGAATGTTCATATATCCACACTACGGGGTCCACAAATTCTAACACAATGTTAATAAATGCACAACGTATTTGGTGGGCATTAACTTGAATTATGTTGTTCCAATAAAAGTATGTTATTCATTATGAATTTTATGTTGTACAAATATTGCAAGTCCATATATATTCACTGTGTTGAGAATTGATGGACATTGTGTTGTGTATTTATGAATATTATATTGTTCATCATTTATTTGCTTGTACATTTTACTTCAAGTTTCACTTCAAGTTAAATTATGTTCACCTGATATGTTGTGTATTTATAAATATTGTGTTGAGATTTTATGAATATTGTGTTGTGCATATATGGACATGCCCTTAAGATAAGGGCAATTGTGTCTTTTTATCCATAACCAAATTTGAAAGAAAGGCCCTCGAGCTTGTAATATGTTTTCAAATTCTATTAGCCCTATAATGTAAATTTTTATATTTTAGAAGCCGTAGATGCGATTCTCCCAACAATTAAATATAAATTGCAATAAAAAAATTATGGGGGAGTAAATTATTAAAGGATTAACTTTATAATTTAGTCGTAAGACATGTGGGTAAAATATTTTCCAATAAGCTAAAAATGATTTTTTAATAAGTACTCCCCTCTTAATATTATAAGATATTTTTTAAAGTAGTAGCACAATAAAAAATAAAAAATATTTTGAATCCTTTAATATATAATTAATAATTTTTTTAAATACCCTTAATTTAAAAGTTGTAATTAACAATATTTTTTTTATTTGAGACACCATATTAAATAAGGGTAAACATGAAAAAACAATAATTTTAAAGACAATTAATTAAGTTATTGAAAGTATAGTTCAATTAAAAGTATTTTATGATAATGAATGGATGGAGTCTGAATGAATTACATTGCTGATTATAAATGAACAATTACAATTTAACATAAATTTATGTTAAATACTGATTGAAAAAAAATATTATCTATCTTATATTACCACATTGTTATGGACAAAAACTTTTTTTGGCATAAAAAAATGAAAGTTAACATTGATATTGATATATGTGAAAAATACGATGCAAATCTTATTATTAATGTGAAAAACTTGTTGGTAAACAATTTGAATCTCTATAAATATTTTTTAAATTTAAAGGCATGTTTTTAACTTGAAAAAATTAATTATTTAATCCCTCTATTTTTAACTTAGTTATAACTCAATTCTTATATTTTAAGTTATTATAACTTAGTTCTTATAGTTTTAATTCGATTGTAACTCAATATCTGAACTTTACTTTTTGTAATTTAATCCCTATAGTTTCAACCACTTAAATATTAATCCCTATATTTTTTAAAAAATAAATTATAAAGTTTAAAAATATTTTAAACTTTTAATAGTTATAATGTTTATAAAAATTAAAAAGGTTTAGTAATATGAAATATTAGTAATAAATTTTAACATAATTTTATTTTTAAGATATAGAAACTAATATTTAAGTTGTTAAAATTATAGAGACTGAATTTTAAAATTTAAAATTTAAAAATTAAATTATAATCAAGTCAATATTTTAAAAATTAAATTATTATAAATTAAAATTTAAAAATTAAATTATAATTGAGTTAAAATTATAAAAATTAAATAATTTTTTTTAAAATTTAATGAATTTTCAAACTCAACTAATCTAAATTTTTTAATATAAAAAAATGTGATGCACATGAATTTAGAATTAGAAGTAGACAGGTAAAAACCACACGGTTTGCATGTCAGGATAGGAAGGTTGACAGAAGCTATAAGCCTATAGGGCTATAAGACCCAATCAAGCAAGGAGCTACATAATGCATGAATTGGCCTTGACGTAAGCAAGCGGGACCACTCAACGTGGAGTATTAAGTATTAAGTTCGTGCGCCTAAAATAAAAGCACAAATTACACATATGAGCCCCAAACTTATTGACTATTGCTATATTGAAAAACATTACAATTATTATTGTTACTTCTAATTCTAATTTTAGTGGCTAGAATGGAGTAACAATTATTTTTAAGATTTTAATCAAATTATTTTTTTTCATATGAAAAATTTATTTCTAAGTTTGAAGAAATTTATTATCAAAAGGGTTTTAAACTAAATTTTTTTAAAAATTTAATTCTAATAATTATTGAAGAAGAAATTCATGTACTTAAGTTAAATAAAAAAGAAATATTATTGATATTATTTTTATTGGAGTAGAAGATAGCAAACATTATTTCTCATCACCAATTTTTTTTCCCATTCTAACATGCATTTGAGCCTATAAATCTTAAGAACTTTAATTATAAAAGTAATAGTTATATACTCCCTCCTTTTAAAGTATAATGTATTTTTTAAAAAGTCAGTTATTTAAAAATATAAAATATTTTTAATTTTTAAAGTGTAATTATTATTATTTTTAAAGTGATTTATTGATAATGATTTTATATTTATTATAAAATATTTAATAAAAATACATATAAAAAAATAAAATTAATTAAAAAATTTATTAAAAGTAAAATTTAATTAAAAATACACGAGATGAGTAATTATTATGAATTTGATTTCCTAAACACTTTTTATGAAATTGGAGTCCATGAATAGATTTTTTTTGTAAAATGTGCAAGTGGGACCCAACGAACATCCGACGCTTTATAAATATATACCCACGCTTGCCTCTTCGCCTTGTCTACCTCATCCTCTCATTCCTCTCTCTCGCGCGCGCGCTCTCTCTCTCTCTCTCTCTCTCTGTTGTGGCTATGGCTGTCTCCCACTTCACTGCAAAATCCCAATTCTCTCACCATCCTTCAGACCGGGAATCCCGACGGAGCCTCCGTAAGCGGTGTTTTCTGATGGCCAAGCAGCAAAAGACGCGTTTCTACATCTTCGGACGCTGTATCACCATGCTCCTTTGCTGGCATGATCATTCAATCTCCGATTAGAGATGCCTTTGGGTCGCGTTTCAGCTTCGCAACAATTGGAAGAGTTTCATTTCTCGGTTAATTTGGATCTATTGACAACCGTGGATTTTGGTTCCCTCAATTGGTGGATCCCGGCAACGAGGCGAGATTCCTGAAGCATCTCACACAGGACATGATATAGTTTAAATTGCACATGAACAGTGTATGTGTGCGTGTGTGTTTATCTTGTCCTATTAAATCGCTTCTAAGGACGAGAGTGAAAGAAGAAAGAGAAGACGAGGAAGATCTCTTTGATGGAGGGTTCATGCGAATGAGGTTCTCTACCATGAGGTTGAATCGAGCAGTCATCGGAGAACAGGGGAACAAAAGATAGAGAATAGAGTCGTTCAAGATGATGGTGAAAAGGGCCAATCGAGGAGTGTCTGAAAGTGAAATATCGAAATTGCCCCTTCGTTTTTACTATTTATGGGAATTGAAGTTGGCACTTAATTAACTGATTTGAGTGTCAAATTTGAGGTCTTCTATCCGTAGTGCCGTGAATCTGTGATTATTGTAATTACCTGATCTTGTTTGAAAGAAATCAGTTCAGTTGAGCTAAAAGCAAAGTGTCTCATTGTCTTTAATCACTTGTTTACTTATTTTAGTTTGAGGAAAAGTCCACGAGGGTAGAAAATAGAAATACTCTGAGTCTGTTAAACCAGGGCTTGATTTTCACGAGCATGTCTTTAGAAACCAGACTGGAATACCAAATAAAAACTATGGCTGTTAACTTGTTTCAACAATGCAGGGAAAATTTGCTTTCCATCACTCATTCATGAATGATCTGAGATTTGAGATCTCACTATTCTGATTCTCTCTCTATAAAATTACCAAGCATTGGTGTACTTAGCTGTTAACTTTGATTTGAAAAAGTGATGGTAACTGATGTTTGGCCTTTTAGATCCACCATGTCTCTTTGCCATATGAATTTCTCTGGTTTCATGCTATGAAGTCTGACAAAACACGTGTTTTCCTGAAGATTTGAGCTTGACCTCACATGGCATGCTGCATATATCATCACTCTCACGCACTAAGCCAACTCAATTTTTTTGCAAAAATAGAGCAAAAAAAGAATAACAAAAATCTTGCTCAGACTCTTAGTTTTTGTTCATTGGGTGGATTCATGTAAGAAGAATATAAACCTGATTTTTATACATAATCCTCTTACTTGATATGACTGACAGGCATTTCATAGTACACCAGAATGTTAAATATTTTATCGTGTCAAGTGTTCATATATCATATCAATCTCATTCTTTTGTTGTCCAATCTTCTCAGCTCTGATAATCAATTTTGAAACGTTGGTTGGTCAAAAGAAAAAAGTTCAGAATGCCAGTGTAAAGTGTAAACCATGAACATACAAAAAAGAATAACTTCTTTCTGCAGTTCCCATTATCCCAACATCTGCATAAAAAGCATATGTTTTTCTCACACCCACATATTGCTAACGCACTTGAAATTTTAGAATCCTGTCTATGTTCAATCTTCAATGATATGGGTCTTGAAATTTAATCCCATGATATGTCAAGTTGCTTTAATACTGTTTGTTTGCCAGAATGCTCCAAAATCTAACACAAATTCCAGTTCAGTCTGCAATGTTTTTCTGCTCTGTTCCATTTTTTTTAATGTATGTATGTATGTATGTATGTATGTATGTATGTATGTATGTATGATGCCAAATTACAGCCGCATTGAATGTGGTTCTGATCATGTGGGGGCTTTTGTCTGAAAATATCAATTATTGACCCTACTTTTTAGTCGATACATAACTTTCCATGGATTCAATCCCATATTGCTTCTCACAGTATAAATGACTTGTTCTCACATGGGAAAACTGAGTGGCTTATAGATGCAGTAAATGTAAATTCATTCTGTTATAATCAATCTTCCGTACTGATATATGCTCCGTTGTTAATCTCATATTAGCTGAAATGATTGAGATTTACAATAAAAGACCTTAATTTCTTCATTGTTTGGAATTATCATGTTATATATTTCTTGTTTCAGAATTCAGGTTGTTTCCCAGATCAAATAATCATTTCTCCTCCAATATGTACACAAAATAGGCCTATGAGAGGATAGCACTGAAAGATCAGAAGAAAAGCTTGAAGTAGTAGATGAACGAGATTATAAAAAGGGAAACGCGCACACAAGAACTGCTGAAAAATGTTATTCACAAATAAAAAACAATAAAAAATTGATCATTGTTAAAATGAAAACAGAAACTTATTTTTTCTTGAAATGATAACTTGTTGTTGGTCTTTATATGGGAATAATATATTTTAGTGGTCTTTGTGTGTGATTTTCCCTTATAGAAAAACAGAAGGCCTTAACTTTGGTGTTAATTGAGAGAATCAAGTGAAATAATAAATTATATCTTAAACTTAGATTTAGAGAAAACTATGAGAATAAGAAAAACAGTAAATTTATATTTAAAAATAGGGAAAATATAGTTATTAGTCTTTATTCTTTTAGCATATTTTGATCTTAGTCCTTATACTTTTTTTCCCCATTACTCCAAGACCTTAAAGTTTTATTTGTCTGTAATATTAGTTTCTATGTCTTTCAATATGACCATAAGGATTTAATAGTGGTTACTGTATACATAAACTCCGTTACTTTTTCCGCTAACTTCTTAAAATTAGAATGAGTTTTATTAAAAAAAAATGATTGAAGGCAAAGGGGGGGGGGGGAAAAAGACGTTAAGTTTGAATACTTAAACGTGCAATGGATAAGGCTTTAGAAAGAAGAATACACGATAATTAAAGCAGACAAATAGGAACGTCAGTAGTCATTTTGCTCATGCAATGTTAAACTTCTTATAATTTTATTAACTCAATAATAAAATGAACAGAGTTTTGTACATATTAGTATATTTAATTCCGCCATCAATGATAAAGACTAACGTTATAGGCAGATAAAACTTAAAAGACTTAAAGTAATAAAAAAAAAAGTATAGGAACTAGTGTAGAAATCAATATTTATATTTTCTCAACAAAAAAAAAAATCAACAATGGGATAATGAGTTGCCTAAGTTTCAATTAAAGATTTTTTTGGGGATATATAATTCAACAGCCTACGTATCTGTTGGTCAAGGCTCAGCTTATTTGTATGCCAGTCTGGTCAAAAGTATTAGCATTAATTAATTTTAATTAATTCCTAATCCTAAAGGTTATTATGACCGACTTTGATGACTTGAGCTTGTTCTTTGAAACTTCTTGGATGGGGACTACATCATCTGGCAGTGGACACTATGGCCATTCCCATTATCTGGAATCTGAATCAATCATGATGTTTCCTTTTGCTTTTAATTTTTTGTTTGTTTAGAAAAATTATTTTTGTTTGTTTGGAAAAATTATTTGCTAAGGTTGGAATTGGAAAGTGTGTGGATAAAATTTGGTCACATGACGTTGCAACTTCTTATTCTTCTCCCTTTTTTTTTTTGGAAAAACTTCAATGAATTTGTAATTACTAATAATTAGGTTAGTGATGTAAATTACATGGATTTAAAAAAAATTAAAACAAGGAAAAATAGATCATTTGGGTTCTTATAATTTTGACTTGATGCAACTTAATTTTTATAATTTTAATCCTTTTAATATATTAGTCCCTATATTTTATAAAATAAATTATAAGGACTGAAATTATTTTCAAAACTTAAGGAAGTAATGTTTTAAATCACTAAAACTATTGAAACCGAATTATATTGAGTTAGAGCTTAAAGACTAAGTCTCAATTAAGTTAAAACTTGAGGGATTAAGTTGAACTAAGAAAAAATTTAGAGAGCCTAAGTTATAATCCCATATAAGCTATAGCTAGGGACTAGGTGATTAATTTTAGATTAAAATCAAATTAAGATTTAAAAAAAATAGCGCTGAAACCTAAGATGATAAGTACTGAATTTGAAAACTTAAATTATGATAATATTATGATTTGATATTAATTTTTTTTATGAGGTACCTAGTTGTCATTCCCCCTTAAATTAAACTATTCAAAACTTACCATGTTTGAGTTTGCTATAAATATTATGTTATTGATTTTGATTGAAAATGGTAACTTTTTCTTTTTTTGAATTACAAATGGACTGAAAAAAGTAACAAAGTACAGCTAAATATTCACAAAAGATGAGTTTCTCTTATCACCCACCATTTTAATACAATAAGAGGTGGGTGATCAAAGACATACCAACTATCTAAGCAAAAGAGAATATTTTAAGCTAAGAAGTGAGTATAAAAATTGGGTTCCCTAAACCTACATCGTAACTTTAAGATTAGTTCTTCAATGGTTTTAATTTATCTTTACAATATGATTAATTTTTGGTGTTTCAAGCTGTGATTCAATCTTGTATAGTTGCGAGATATTTGAAAATTTGAGATCAGTTTTAGGGAGAAACAAAGAATATTGGAAAGTTCCAAGACCTGCTAGGTTGCTTAGTTATGAGTTAGCTTTATGATCGATGATATATATATATATATATATATATATATGGTCCATGCATGTGAGAGGAAGAAACGTGAAAAAATGTGAAAAATGCAATAAAATATGAGAAGCTCGGGTGCGTAGGAACTGGCAAGTGACTCTTGCTTTCCGAATTTAATTGGAAAGTCTTACAAAAACTAAAGATTCTACACAGATATGTTTTGCTTGTTTGAAAAATTTACCATAATGCTCTTTCCTCTAGTGATGTTTTATCATAACATCATCTGCCTTTTTCTAAACTATGTGGGTTTGGATGTTGAGTGGTAGAATCACTACCTTATTTTTTTTGTTACTTGTCCATTCTCAAGGACGGCATGGTATATGATTGTCTCTCGATTAGATTAGATTCTTTTACAGTGAGTGAAAATTTAAATAATCTTTTTTTTATTTTTTTAAACATCTTATGAAAGGAAAAATGCAGGATAAACTTATCGAGTTCATTCTAATATAATCTTGCACACTTTGTGGCAAAAAAGGAATTGCATCATTCACAATAACACAAGAGTTTATCCCATGAAAGCAATATCAAAAGTTAATTAGCTTCATTTCTATCTAAAACACATTTGTCACAAGAAAATGTCAAGAAGTCATTTTATTCATACTAATTTCATGTACTTACACTTTACTTATAGAATAAAGTTGTGAGCCAAATACCTTGACTATTCTTACACTTGTTTCTTTTTTATACTATTCAAGATCCAATAATCTAATATTTTTGGATTAAATTCAAGTTGGAGGTATTTTTTAAAAAATATTTTATATATTCACGCCTACTTCAATAAGAAGAGTTGCCACAGTTCCTTATGCTAATTTCCACTACTACCCTTAACTCCCATGATTATTTCCCCCCCTTTTCAAGTGCAAGACCACAACTCAAGCCATGCTAAAAACAACAAACTAACTCATTTTAGTGTTTAAAAAATTCCTGTATCCAAAGGGTAGATCATGTAAAATTATTGTGGTGAAGGTCTCACTATCAATATGGCAAGGCAAGGATGATCCAATCCTTAAGAGAGAGGGAAAAAAAGTTAATATATCTCACATCTTCCACCTCCCAGGATGATTTATCATATGCAAGAAAAACAAAGATCATTCCTTTTATAAGATTGGCATAGCAATTTATTTGAATGGAGAAGAGTTGTAGAGTCAAACCTGCAGGCAAGTTAGGAAATTATATAGTCATCCTTTCTTTGCAAATGAATGTCTTTGCTATGTTCTCTTTTGATTTTGCAACTTTGTAATGGACGAGAGGATCTCGTTACATTACATTTTCATTACTTGCTT